TCAGCCAGAATCTACATTTGTTATGGGCTTTTCTGTTCTTGATGAGAAGGAGTGGTCTCATTGTCGTCTCAAGGCATGGCATCATAGCTAAGGTTGGTATTCGCTGTTCGATTCTAATAGACATCAGCAAGTGGGACAGTTTATATTCTAATGGATATGTCAAAGATTCCTTTTCCTGGAGCCAGATTTCTAAAGTCTGGTACTAGGACAGATAGATCAGTCTCAAACGGTCTCAAATGATAACAGCAAAATGACTAATTATATTTGGGATCACCAGAATTTCCCTTCACCTGGACAGAAGGTACATGTCTGCTGTGAACACTGAAGGTAGCTAAGACTTAAGCTAAATCAATTCACCAGCTTCAGAATTATTGTTCTCAGGGGACCTGTTGATTCCTCCAAGACTACTGCCATTCCCTCCTTCTTAGTATAGATCACCTTTCCAAGTTGAGACTAAATTATCGCAGTGTGGTAACTGTGACTGTGAACATGATCATTGACTCACAATGTCTTATATTTGTGGAATAGAATGACCCTAGGACATAGCAATTCAACTTCCTTGTGATCTGGATAGTCATGTCTTTCAATAAAAAAGCACACGCGTTTAATTCTGACAAGGTAGGCTCAGCAATGAGATCGGATTTGATTAAACTGAACATATAACAGTTGTTGAAATCAGAGAGACTAATTTACAAGTGTACAATGCAAAACAAAACAGATATCTTGTTCCCCATTACATGTAAATCAATACATATGACTCAAGAAGGCTTCTAATGATTCTTTATCATTTCTACCTCCTTCACATTAACATCTGTGGGCCCTATGCTTTCAGAAAACCCCCTGCCTTGTGCCTGAAGTGCTTTAATCTCTTGGTGTTCAAAGCCAGAGAGGAAAGGTCCTTCAAATCTTTGCCATGTACCTGAAAGTATCACAATGGGTATGTGTTGTTCGAGCCTGTCGATAAGGCAAGTTGAAATGAACTTCTCATTATCCAGTTGGGACATGACAGTAAAGTGGCTTAGTAGAATCTTAATGGCCATCATCTACAGCCTTTTTATTAAACCTCTGGGAAAATATTGCAATTTAAAAGACACAGCAAAATTACAAGTGTGGCCCTCAGGATTATTAGTTTAAAGTTTTAGAATTACTGGTACAGTAATATGACCACCAACTTCCTGTTGCCTACTTGCAAATGAAGCAAATAACACCATTAATAATTATCCCAATTATTTTCAATGGTACAAAAATTATTTTGCACCTCCCTAATTTAATAATTATTTATTTCAGTCTTATTTAGCAGGGCTTGCTCATGTCATTCCTCATGTCGCTAACCTGAAGTTGGATGTGATCTACTTCAGACTTTATCCTAATAGAGAGTGGAAGGTACGAAGTACTGAAGATTGCCATGGATTGATTTGGCCTTTGGTTTTCCCTCCCATCTGGGAAAGTACCTCATTTTCTTTCCCCATCTGATTTTGCAATAATCCATTATTTTATAAATTATTCAACACCAAAACCACAGGTTACTACATACAATACTAGAATGAACTAAAGTATTCAATTTGATGTTCAGACTGATGTTACAGATTGGCTGTTAAAGAAGTTGCCTTCTTTTTTCTTCCACTGGTGTAAATTCCATGTAAAATGAGTGTCACCTGCTAAAGTACACAGAAATTAAAATAGCTTCTTCACTCCCAGTGACTCAGATACTTTTATGCAGGGGCAACTGAATAGAGTTGGTGGTAACAAGATATTGGGTGATTCCTAATGTACCCTGGAGCTTGTGGAAGTCAGCAAACCTATAAAACATTATGTCCTTTTTGTCATGACAATGGATCATCACCTCAGATTACCTATGGAAATATTGAACTTTTAATTACAACTTTTGTTTAAGACAGCATAGAGCCAAAAGATGTGGATATAAATTCAGTGACTCTTGCTCAGTAGTGTGCAAACTCATAAATAATCTGAAAGCACATCTTTGATCTTGCAAAGTGCCCATTCTACCTTAAATTATTCTAGAAAGGCAAGTTATCTCAAACGTTTGACCAACACAGGAAGCTAGCTAGTTGCTGTCAAGTCAAAAAGATGCTCTGCCCAATACAGAATGTAGTCGTGTGGCATTTGAATTTCAGCATAGATGTGATGCCAGATAATGTAGGCCCCATGTTCCAAAGACTGGCAGATCATATCAACCAACATACTCCTTTTCAAAAACAGAAATTGCTAGCAAAAGTAAGGTCTGGCAGCACCTGTGGAGAGAAAGCAGCGTGAACGTTTCGGGTCCAATGATCCTTCTTCAGAAGTTCTGATGCTGCCAAACCTGCTCAGTTTTCCCAGCAATTTGTTTTTGAATCTGATTTCCAGCATCTGCAATCCTTCGTTTTTGTTTTGAAACACATTCCTTTTGCTGTTTCAAACATGTAAGGTACTACCTATATTCAACTAGCCAATGCATGCAAAACCTGCAGATTCCAACATTAGATGTGATTCTGCAATTGGGCAGTATTTGCAGGATGATTCGGAAAGTGTGAAGAATTACACTGACAATCAATTCAGGATTGTCATGTCACACACTTAAGTGGACTGGAAGCTATATCTATTAATACACAGGGTCCTGTTCCTGGCAGATAGAAAGAATGCCTACATGTACTGCGCCTTCTTCAACTCAACAAAATAGGTGACAGCCATTTGCTGGTTCATTTCAGAGCAATGTCTTGACCAATCAGAGTCAGCCTGCCTGGTTTAAATTTAAACTGTTAATCTTCATTAATTGGTGCATTTTCCGTGGCATCACCTCTACCTATCAGAATCCACTTGCCAACTAAGCACTCTCCTCTCATACAATATGATTGTGTTATTTTTGTGAATTGTGCTCATGAGTGCAAGACAAAATTTTGACAAAGTCTGTCTTTTTTTTCAGCAATACTCAAACTCGTTACTATTGGATGCTATTAGTGAAACAGTCTTACTTCACACAACCCAGAAGAAGAATCAGGTGCAGAGACTGAAATGCAGGACCCATGATATTTTCATGCCTTGCCTTGAAAATTTCTCTTCATAGCTTATACAGAGATTTTCTAAGCATTGCGAACTAGAACAATACCTACTTCTGTCCAACATTGTAAAATACAACAATGCAAATTGTCCATGGCACAGTTGGCCAAGCAAGTGAAAACTGACTTGCTTTAAACCACTTCTTAGCAGCATGTTGTAGATCTCACCCTTTACACCAAAAAGTGATCCATGGGAGATGTGACCTTATAGAGGTTTATAAAATTATGAGGGGCATGGATAGGTAAATAGCCAACGTCTTTTTCCCAGGGCTGGGGAGTCCAAATCTGGAGGGTACAGGTATAAGGTAAGAGGGGATGAGATTTAAAAGGGACCTGAGGGGCAACTTTTTCACAGAGGGCAGTGCATGTATGGAACAAGCTGTCAAGGGAGATGATGGAAGTGGGTACAATTACACCATTTAAAAGGCATCTGGATGAATAGGAAGGGTTGAGAGGGATATGAGCCAAATGCTGGCAAATGGGACTAGATCAGTTTAGGATAGCTGGTCAGCGTGAACGAGTTGGATCAAAGGGTCTATTTCTGTGCTATATAACTCTATGATTCTATGCACTTTTACATTGTAAAGTCAGCATATTTATTTTCCCATTATTTCCCAAATTATCTCCCCCCGAGGAGTTGGTTAGGGAGGAATTCAACAAGAATGATCCGGCTCCAGAATGAAAGAAAATGGTACTAGTTTGACACAATCCCATATCCATTTAGCATCGTGTGAACTTGTCATAGAGTAGACTATAATGAATACAGTGCAAGACACCTATTAAGCCCATGTGGCCCTTCACAAGGGTTATTTAGCAGGTCCAATCCCCTGTCCTTTTCCTATAACCCTGAAAACATTTCTACTTTTCTTATACACCAGTATATATTTTTTCAAATACATGTGTTCACATAGTTCAATTATATGAACCAAATGGGGCCTCGGAGAAATCTAACAGAAATTCATTCTCACTCATCACTAGTAAATTTTGTGAACTCTGACCCTTCTGATGCCATCAGTTAGAACTAAAATCTCACTGTGTTTGGGAGAGAAAATCACAAACATTTTTGTCGGATCATGGTAGGGAGGGAGAGAAATCATGGCTCTATTTTTCAAAATGCCTTTCAAGAGATGGTCAACCAGCATGTTTTTGTGTTTTGAAAAATACGTCAACACATTTTAGTCCTGACAACTTTGCCTGGACTTATATCTCAGCTATTAAGAACACAAGTTCTCAGTGCTTTGGGAGATTTTAACATTTTAAAGCTGTTATAAGATTACAAGTTATCATTGTTAGGGACCTTACGTTACCCACAAGACTAGGCAAGTATTCCCCAGGCAGACAACTCCGCTAGGACCTATTGCCTTCAGAAAGGCACCACAGCCTTCGGAATGGTTCAAGTCAGAAGCATAAAACAGTAGGAAATGCTGAAATCTGAAAGGCAACAAAAAAAGGTCAGGCCCATCTAATTTGCCCTTTTCTAAGTTAGTAATGGACTTGTTCACCAGTTGTGACAATCTGCCTCTGCAACTGAGTTTACAACAGACCCCAGTGAAGTGAAGGGAACCTCAGAAGTTAGCTATGTAAGTTGAAAGCAACTTATTCCTTCCAAGCATGCTACACTTAGTCTATTCATGTCTCAAGGTACTTTTCAAAATTCCAACTTGGTGGCATTGCATGAGTTGTCCCAGGTGAAGCACATATGTGGCATAAAATTTGCTTCCAATTGCTTAGTGAATACAATAAAGCTGATTTTTTCAAAAATAAACTAATGTTGATAGACTTCCATTGGCTTTCCATGTGCCCATAAGGCATAGTATTCACCTTAAAAGGAAAATTTTTCATAACATGATATAGAGAGTAAAACAAACACCAGTTAAGATCAATCATGCCTGTACCACACAAGCTACTTGGGAGAACTGCAATTTAGCTTGATTGTGTCCTTACCACTTAGAATATCACAGTTGTTTCCCCAGAAATTTGCTGGCTCTGTTGGTCTGGAATAGTACTCATCTCGGTTTGCTGCTAGGATAAACCTGCAAAAATAAAGTACAGAAATATACATGCATTTTGTTGCCAATGTAATCAAACTGTCATTGGGAAAATCAGTTTCACTCTCTCAAATACTTAACAAATATTAATAAACAGAGCAAAATAAACTGCATGTACTTTTTATTTTACAAATGTAGGTGCAACATTGTAATTACTGTCCATCACAGCCTATGAGGCAACTTAATTGCTTGAAATTATTCCCTTCCTAAAGAATTCCAAAGAATCTGAGATTCAGATTCTGAGATGCTTTACGTTGTGCAACAATGGTTTAGTGTGAGCAAATGAAACAACCATTCTTCACACATTAAGATGGGGATGTTAGAATAGTGGTCCAGATGCCTGCATTAATGCTCCAGAGATGACGGTTCAAATCCCACCACAACAGCGAGGAAATTTAATTTCAATTTATTAATAAATCTAGAATAATGATCAGGAAACCTGTTTGGTTCACTAACATAAAAGGGGAGGAAATCTGTCATCCTTAACTGATACTCCACATGACTCAGATCCACTGCAACGTGGATGATTCTTAACTGCCCTTTGAAGCGGTTTAGCAAGCCATTTGGTTGTATCAAACTGCCACAGATGTGGGTGTACTTATACCATATGGATTACAGTGACTGAAAAACACAGATCACTGCCTTCTTTTGAAGGGCAATTATGGCAAGGTAATAAATGCTAGGCTATCCAGTGATGTTAACATTCCAAACATTTTTCTCAAGAAATGAGTAGACTGTCTAATACCACTAAGTAGCCACATATGGAAGAAATCCAGGAAAAATTGTTGTGCTACTACTTCATGGGAAAGACAACTCCAAACTGTGACATGCACAACTGGGGTTCAAGGATGAAGTCGAGGACAGATTTTTGGTAGTCACTGAATGGATAGCAACAGAAACCAGTTTTAGAAAGCTTTGGGTTATGATCCCACACTTGGGAGCAGATGAAGCTGGACAATAGGTGAGCGGTTTGGAAAGGTCATGAAATTAAGGCTGCAGCAAGATTGAGAAGGACAAGGAAAATAATGTACCAAAGTAGCTCAAATACACAAGTTCTCTGAAGCATACATGAATAAAACATTACAATGTTGAATAAAATAAAGAACTGCAGATGTGGGTAAATGAAATAAAAATAGAAATTGTTGGAAAAACTCACATCTGACAGCATCTGTGGAGAGAAAGCAGAGTTAACATTTCGAGTTTAGAGTAGGTTCTTCAAAACAAGTTCTGTTCTGCTTTCTCAGTTTCTACAGCAATTTCTGTTTTTTCATTAAATGTTAATACTGTAACCTTGCATAAATTTGAGGCTTTCTAATGGTTAAGAAGCATGATGGATTCCATATAAATCAAAATCTAGATCTAAGCCTACAGGCAAGTCAAAATGAGTGTGATGACAGGAAAAAAATTCAAAGTCCAACAACAATCAATTATTATAAATGTAGTGCGAGTTATACACTGCAGACTCTGAATCTGCCATTTGCAGCCTTAGACTGCTATTTCATTAAATTCATCACAGCTAGCAATAATCCAAAATGATTTTGACCCAAAGAATGAAAGGCAAAGCTCCTTACTAAATTCACTGAAGGTCATACAGCTTAATAAGCATGGAAATAGAATTCAACTTTCCAAATAGCATTTTAGTTTTGCGGTTATTTACTTCATCTAAGTGGAAGAGAAAGTTATACATGTTTTCATCTAGTTATATGGTACATATGAAACACAAGAAAATACACAAAATCAAGTGACAAGAGTTGAAAGGGTTAAATGGAATCCTGAAACTGGGTTGTGGTTGTGAGACAGCTAGATGTGACTGCATTTTCTGCTAATCTAGGATCTTCCATATTATGAGCTTTAGATTTGACTTAATTATGTCTGAAGTCCACTGCACAAAAAAGTTCTTAAGCTCAGCGGAACTGGCAGTTGTGACAATCTCATCCAGAGAGTGCACAAAGGATAAGGGAGGCCAAGGAGGAAATTGAAAGTCAAGTTGATCATGTCGGGGAACCAGTCTTTTGTTAAAGCGATCCAGGTGCTTTGCTGAGATCAGCCTGACCTGGATGTATATTGTGCAGAAAATCATTAAATATTGGGCTTAGTCATCTTGTTAACTACAAATAAATGTAATTTTTCAAAAACCATGTCAATGAAAAGTATTTAGAGAAGTGAAAGTTCTACAATGGTTTATTTAGTAATTGTGAAAAATATAGCCTCGCATTTTAGTAACATTAGTACCTTCTCCAAGTTTAGCTCCTAACACTTCTTTATTGTCACTTCATTGCAAGTTAAAACTAATGATTCTTTACTCTTGAATTTTTTTTTTAGTGTTCAAGGATTAATAACTAAGAATTCTGATTTAAGGAACAAGATGCATTCATGAGAGTCTTTAATGTAATAAGATGCCCTAAAATGCTTAAATCAGAGGTAGCTTGGTGGCTCTGGTTAGCACTGCTGTCTCACAGTGCTAGGGACCTGGGTTCAATTCCACCCTTGGGCGACTGCCTGTATGGAGTCTGCACATCCTCCCTGTGTCTGCATGGATTTCCTCCAGGTGCTCTGGTTTCCTCCCACAGCCCAAAGATCTGCAGGTTAGGTGGATTGGCCATGCTAAATTCCCCTTTTTCACCTATTCTTCCGAAACATCGAATACCCTTGAATATTGAGTTCCCACTCATGGTTAGCTAAAACCATGTCTCTGTAATAGCAATAAAGCCATATTGGTTTACTTTTATTTTTGCCATTGACTTACCTATCTTGTTACAATGCTGCATGCATTCAGCCTTAAACTTTATTTACTATTATGACTCCCTCTCTCTGGTTTTAATTTTCACTGCGCTCTTCAGTGTGTAATTTTTATCCCTTCCTGTCACACTTTGACTATTGTTTTCCTCTTCACTACCTGCACATATGCTCTTTCATTTCTTTCTGGTCTTTTAAAAGTTGCCTTCAATTGAAGACACACAGACACACACATCCGAGTTTTATGATTTGCCAGAGTACAGATCCCAGTATTGTTCAGATGAAGCCTGTCCAACAGAACAGCTCTCTCTTTTTCCTGGTACTGGTGCCAGTGCTCCATCAATCAGAAACAAAAACAAACAGTGATCCATGAATCAGAACTCATTTCTCACGTAACAATCTGCTTGTGGCTCAGGTAATAATCCAGGAAGTACCTTTGTGTTACTGCTTTTCATTCAACTCTTAGCTGTTTGCAACCCATCAGCAGAAGCTCCTTCCAAGTGCTACATATGTCGTGTGGACTGTGAAAACTGGATCCTTCCACACGCGGTCCAAATCTCTCTCCAACCAAGAGATAACCTGAATCTTGGCATTAGGTAGGCAACACAATTTTTGGGACTCTATTGCAGAGTCTTTGCTGCAGAGAACAGTATCTATTCCTCGAACTATGCTGTTCCCTATGAATACTACACTTCTCCTTTCTCCTCCACTTGAATGACACTCTGGACCACAGTGCTGTGATGGTCCGTTTCTGTATTCTCTCTGCAGGATGTGCCATCATCAACAACAAAAGCAAGAACTTCATACTTATGAATAAAGGCACTGGCTGAGGCTTCTCCAAAGTTAAATTCTAGATCCCCATACTAGACTCACTCACTCACAGTCACACCATTCTGTTCCTGATCATGGACCAACTCCAAGGGTTGCCAACATCTGTTCAAAGGATTTATCCATGAATAAGGAAAAAGCATTAAAAAAAATGAAATCACTAATTCTGAACAAAATAATCCATCAAATAAAAAAAAAGCAGACCTGACTGAATTTCTGGACCTTAAAACACTGAATTACCAGAATTTGAGACACATGTGAATGAAAGCCTGCAGTTTGGACTCTGCAACTGCAAGGCTCGTGTTTATAACAGAGATTTTGCAGTTAGAATACCTGTAATCAGAAAATGCATGGGGTTTAAACTGGAAGAAGATGATACACATGGAGACCTCAGGTTAACTTCACTTCTTCAGATCCAGAGAGAGAAAGCTGGGGTCATTGGTATGAGGCCTACAGATAAAAGATACAAATTAGTGGCATTCAATCCTCATGATCTAGACAGATATAACTATCAATCATAGCATTAACTTCCAGATTTCTGCTGCCAGCCAAGCCTATGTGCATTATTAAGGCAACAATTTAAATTTGTACTTATTTTTTGATTTTATTATGGTGCAGTTTGTATCAAAATACACACACACACACACAAATCTATGGGGTGAATTTGTGTTTGCAGATATACTCTAATTTGTTCAAAAAGCACACAGTTTATAGACAATCTGGTGTTTTATAAATTCCTACTTTTAGAAATAAAACCAGTTTGACTCCAAACCAAAACACAAACAGATTCTAAACAAGGTCTCACACCTAACATGCATTGTCTGACGGTACAGTGGTCAGCACTGCTGCCTCACAGCAGGGACCCGGGTTCAATTCCAGCCTCGGGCAACTATCTGTGCGGAGTTTCTCTCTGTGTCTGCGTGGGTGTGCTCCGGTTTCCTCCCACAGTACAAAGATGTGCAGGTTAGGTGGATTGGCCATACTAAATTGCCCATAGTGTTCAGGGATGTGTGGGTTATAGGGGGATGGGTCTGGGTGGGATGCTCCAAGGGTCGGTGTGGACTTGTTGGGCTGAAGGGACTGTTTCCACACTGTAGGGATTCTATGATTATAAAATGTCACCTCTTTACACTGATAAAACCTTTAGTTCTCTCATGACAGTAACTTGAAAGGAGTTTGGGGATTTATGTACAGATATTAATCAATTAAAACCTTCTAACTCATTAAAGATTTAACAACATCTTAGATTTGTTTAATGCATCCTCATCAGTTCTGTGACCCTTTGATCTTTTACTTATAAATTCTGTGTTCTGTGTGTTTTTTTCTCACTCCACCAAACGAAGGGGCTACGTTCCAAATGCTTGTGTTTTCAAATAAACCTGTTGGAATATAACCTGGTGTTGTGTGATTTATGACTTTGTCCACCCCAGTCCAACATTGGCACCTCCACATCAAAAATATAGAAATAGACAGAGATATGCTGGCTGTCTGAAATCATTGAATGTTGTAGCAGAGAAGGAGGCCATGTGGCCTACCTTTTACAGTTCAATTTTATATCTTACAAAGCACAAATAACATTCTTTGAGAGACAGCGTATTAAGGTAGTCCCTACTTTTGGTTGTGTCTTCTCCATGATCTGATAAAACCTTTTCCCTTTAAATTTTTATTGGAATCTACATAGCATTATTGTGAATGATTTATTAAAATCAACCCTCATCAGAGGCAGAAAAGGGATTCAGATAACTTCAAAATCAATTAAGTAAAATGCAGAAACACAAAACAAAAAAATGCAAAAAATGTTAAGGAAAAAATAAATTGCACTTCAGCCAATCACTAGGGCAACCATAACTTACTTGAGATGACCCCTCACTTGAACCACTTGCCACTGCCCTCCAATTGATATAGGAAACCTGCCAAACACCGCTATTTCTGAATGTAGATGTTCTCCTGCTCTTTGTTACAGAGTGTCAAATCTTCCTGGGAGTGTCACTGCAGACTAAGGTGGGGATGACTTTTAAGGAATGAGAGAGTACAGTTCACTCCAGTGGAGACGTACCTGCTTCTCTAATTACCTCAGCCTGTATCTGCTTTGCCTCCTGCTGCTGCTTCTCTCCCGCTGTGGTATCCTACCTCATCCATCCTGGAGCATGAGCCAGGGTACTGCGCAACCTGAGCACTGCATCCACTATCCTGCTGTACCTCATTTTAGTTTGAGCTCAGAGTGATGATAGCTATAGGACCAACCAGAATAACTGCTTCAACTCCTCCAAATTGCAGGATTCCTCTTTCGCATCCATACTGCTCTATCAATAATAGATTTTGTCTCTGAAGGAGCAACAAGAACAGAAAAGAGGGGACCTGTATTTGGACGAGTTGGACCAGTGAGCAATGGACAGATAATTTTTGCAAATCAAGGGGCAGCACCTCACATATTCTCTCCCCATGCAGTGAGATGATTTTTTTCTCATTTCTCACTATCTCCATTAATCTTTCATGGGTGTTTTGGGACATTTTGGAGAATCAATTTGCCAGCTGTGCCGATGTATTCTGATCTCTGTCGGGTGCACAAATCTCTCAAAGCAAGAAGCAATTTTTAGAAGCATCCGGAACTAGCCAATGGCCATGTAAGAAAGCCATGAAGATAAATTTTCTATCAGGGTGTCATAAGCCAGACAGCCGTGGAGGCAGGGTGATTTAATATTTTGGAGGCAGAGATAGATAGATTTGTGACTAACAAGGAAATCAAAGGTTATTGGTAATAGGTGGGAATGTGGAGGTGATTCCACAAATCAAAGCAGATATTATGTTACTAAATGGAGGAGGAGACACGAGGGATCCAGAACCCTACTCTTGCACTTAATTTTGATGTTCACATATATGGCGCATCAACCTCTTCAAAAATAGATTGACACACTATTGACACACGTCAAGAAGCAGGGGGTATTTCCACAAAAAAATACTGGATGCACTTTGTTTCAAGTGTAATGACCTGATGAAGCAGGCCTTCTTTTACTCCAGTGAAATGTTGGTTTAGTTCAATCAAGAAAACACTTATGTGCAAAAAAAATTTGCACCATGACCATGGAGGTAGGAAAAGTAGCTGATGATTGGCAACTCCAAAGACCCCCGATGTTTTATGGAAGTAACAACGACTGAATCATTGGTGTACTGTTTGAGAAATGGTTGAATAACTTTGGCGTTTCGAAGCAGAAAAGCTGCCTGGAGAATTGGAAGCCGTCAAGCTCAAACGAAATGCCTGCATCTGAAAGCAACGAAACTCAACAATGTCTATGATCTAATCACTTGACGCTGGTATGATTTATTACACAAAATTGCACAAGGTGATATGATCAGTTCTGAAATGATTGGTGTTCCTGATGCTGGCATCCACTTCTGTTGGATGTTCTGCGAACGTTTTATCTGCTCATTACAGGATAAACTGAAAGCAATTGCTTTTGGCACAAAGTTCACCCCACCAGCAGAGTAGGCAGCTGCATTTGACTGCATGCCCACCCACTGAAGCCGCTGCTTTTGGAGCCGCTCCAGTTGTCTGTTGCTATTGACAACAGACATGGCCAGCAAATCCACTGTCAGTATTGATAAGAAGATCCTGATGTCTAGATTGCTCACTGACATGGAAATGACTGTTGTCAAGGCGTGAGGAAGAGGTACAGATGAATGAGTCCAATGAGTAGCTGCTTATGATCCAGTGCTCATCGGGGTATCCAAATCTGTCTGTTTGGTGAGGACTGTCTGAAACTATACTGCTGATAGGGCTTTCCTCTGTTCTGACCACTGAATGGAAAATATATTCTTGTGGGAAAAAAAACACAAACGGCTCACTACTTCACAATGTGACTGAAATTGTGTTGCGCACTGTGACTTTTTGATCAAGCACTTTTCAATTTTACATTTTTGTCTATTTTTAGTGCCATATTTCAGAGTTGCTTCACTAAAGTTAGAAAATTTGAACCACTGGATATTCTGAATGTTTTCTTCTGAGCGAGAAATGAAAATATCTTTGATTCTCTTCAACAAGGCAGAACACTGTCCAATAGTCGAACAAATAGTTGGATTGTATTTTGAACTCAAGACTCGTTGTGGAATCCTATTATTATAGAACATGCTCAATGAATGACTTGTAGCTGCAACATGGTCTGCAACAGTCAACGCCCATACATAACAGGCACTTGCCTTGTTCAATCAAGTTTAAACTATATGCTGGTACTAAAGTGTCCCACAGGACCAGCAAACTTGAGATTTTCCTCAGTTATGGCTGTAGGTAACATACTGACATTTTTACAGGTTGCTTTGCACTGTTTTTCCAGGACTTCTGATTGATTGTCATCAGTGTCAAAATTTCCAACAAAAAACTAAGCAGTTAGAAAGTCCTTCATACCGCTCAATATTGCGGAATTTAAGTACTCCAGGTCAAACCAAACTACTGTTGGAATCATGGAGGCTCGTGGTCACTCCTAAAGAGCTGTACATGCAAACTACTAATGTGGGCTATACCTTTATAAGATGCCTGCTACCTTACATATGTGTATATATAAATACAGGTAGTTTTGCTCTAATGCGAGTTTCATTAACATGAATTGGCTGTAACACAATTGATCAATAGTGGAGATAGTAGGAACTGCAGATGCTGCAGAATCTGAGATAACAAGGTGTAGAGCTGGATGAACACAGCAGGTCAAGCAGCATCAGAGGAGCAGGAAAGCGGATGTTTTGGGCCTAGACTCTGATGAATAGTGGACGCTGTTTGGATAATGAGAACTTTCTGCTGTACGGGTATAACGATTTTCTATAGCGATTTCCCTATAACGCGATTTTCTATGGCAATTTTCTATAGCGTGGGATCACAGAAGAACGCAACAATTGTGTTATAGGAAAACTACCTGCAAGTCATTTAAGGTGGCAGGACAGATAGAGAGTGCTGTTAATAAAGCAGCTACGATTCTAAGTTTGAGTTCTGAGGAAAGGTCACTGGACCTCTGAATTTAACTCTGATTTTTTCTTCACAGATGCTGCCAGAACTGCTGAGCTTTTCCAGCAACTTCTGTTTTGTTCCTGATTTACTTCATCTGTAGTTCTTTTGGTTTTTACTATTCTAGGTTTCACTGATATGGGCATTTAGTACAGCAGTAGAAAGGAATACATGTACAGGTAGTTCTCCTATAATACGATAGTTGCGTTCTTGTGTGACCTCGTGCTACAGAAAACCACCATAGAAAATCGTATTATATACGGGCTATACCTGCACAGCAGAAAGTTCATGTTATTCAAACAGCGTCAATTATTCATCGATTGCGTTGCAGCACATTCGCGTTAACAAATCGCGCGTTATAGCAGAACTACCTGTAACTTATACAGGACACTGGTTAAACTTCAGCCCGAGTAGTGTGTACAATTCTGCTTGCCACAGACAGAAAGGATGGGAATGCAGT